TTTAAATGATACATCATTGTACTCTTTTAATTTCTCTTCATTAAAATATGGGATTCCATGACCATCTTCATTATATAATAAGCCCAAGTTGAATGGCTGATTTGAATGTTCAAAAGTCATTTGGTGAACAGTCTCTTGTTTTATAATGATAACAAGTACTGTAGACATCATTATAAAAATCAAACAATTGATAATTGAAAGGCTCAATAAAGCTACTCTCATTGAATATTATATAACAGATTAATTTAGTTTAAATATAGAAATTTAATCTAAAAGTAATTTTATAAATATATTAATATCTTTTTTATTAATACCTTCATAGAATCCTGTAAAATATAGGCAGTGGATTTTTTTGAAAAAATGGAATCGCACCATTACTTTTTCGATTATTGTACAAGGTTGATTTTTTAATTTAAAGTTTTTGCTCACACTTTTCAAAATCAAAGATAATAACATAAAGCATTTTTTGGTCTAAAATATATCGGAAATAAATATCCTTTATTTTGTGTTTTTTAAAATGATTATTTGAATTATTTCCGTTAAATTAACAAAGTGTTTATTTAATTAAACATAAATCTGTAGAGTTTAAAAATATCCCGAAATTGTAGGTATTTGTCTCGCAATTTTATTGTCCAAAAAGCTTTTTGAAAGTCGATGGATAAAAGAGAAGAGTATATCAAAATTGGTTTCAAACTTATCTAAAATAATAATCGTACAATAAAAAAGGTTTATTGTCGTGTTGAAACGAAAATTAACAATGTTAAAATAATATTCAAACATATTTTACAAAAAAAAGTTTTAACAATAAAAGTTTTTTTTAACAAAATGATTATGTTGTATTGAAAAAAATGTGATTACTTTGATATTTTTCTTATCTGTTGTTATTGTTTCTTAATTAAAGATCGTAATATTAATTAAATAATCGAATGTTTTATCTTTTTAATCGTTTGTTTTTGTATTACAATAAATAGTAATACAACACTTATTATAAATATAATAATTAATTAAAAACTGATATGTTTTTAATTATATCAAATGTTTTGTTGTTGGCAATAGTCTAAAATACATCCTTCATACATTCATTTATATATATTTTGTAACATTTATTACTTAAATTTTAAGTTGGTTTATTTAACAAAATGTTATATTATTCAGTTTTCTAAATAAAACAATTCAACCTTTATTAATCAATATTTGTAATATATTACAACAAATTGTAATGATCAAATTGTACAAAAAAATAATTGAATAATTTTTTATTTAGCCCAAGCTGGTGCTATCGAACTTCCACCATATTGGAAAGTCTGTCCAGTTCTTCCACAGCTATTGCAGTGGTTAGAAGAACCTCTCTTCTTTCCACTGCAATCGGCTCCACATGAATTGCATTGGCAGGCGCCACACTTTGAGCATTTTTGCCAGTTGTTAGAAACACGACAATATGGGCAAACACCAGTCATTTGATTTTTTATGATTATATCAGTTTATTTGCATTATATTATACCTTTCGGTAAAATGCATACCTCAAAAATTACTTGAGAAACTATCAGAACAATTTGAATCATCACATTTTATGTATTATTTAATCATGTTTTATTAAAAAAAATAGTAAGTGTTTGACAGTAAATTACTTAGAAAATGTTATTGAATATTTATTGGTACAAATTTGGAATTATTTGGAATCAAGATAAAACAATTTTTTGAAACGTTTTTTTAACATTTGATTACTGTCTAAAAACAACTAAAAATAGTACAATCATATAAATAATATATATTTACTATAATATAATAATGATATATAGTTAATTATTAGTATAGTTATAAATAACAAATGTTATAATTATAATTAATATATAAATATATTTATTATATTTGAGTTGGCTCAAATATAGTTTGTGAATCAACTATGGTTCAGTTAACTAACAAAATATATAGTTAACTATAAGGTGTATGGGTCACTGCTCAATGAAGTTTTTAAAATTTTGTTTTTTTATTTTTTCAATAACAACGAACATTCGAATAAACTTCATAAATGAAATTTTTTAAAAACTAATTAAAAACAAATAAAAACTTTTAATTGTACATGTTTGTAACTAACTAAAATAATATTAACATATATTTTTATAATTTATCATTAAATTAACTATTA